ACGGACAAATACACAGAATTATATCTCACAATTATACTTCTAGTTAATTTATAGCATCAAATAAACATGAATAAACATCAGAAGAATTATTGTTTCAACCGTGGAAAGACTTCAGTAGGTGCACACCTCTTTTCAAGTTCAAATATCCCCGTAAACACAGCCGGTTTTGTCTTAATGGTTGAGAAAGTAAAACAGTATATGTCCATTGAATCAGTCCACTGACAGCCTATACTCGCTGCCACCATTAATGTTGATCAAAGAACAAAAGAAAAAGAAAATCACTCACTGAACTTTTGTAACTTTAATTAGCTTAATATTTTATTTGCCTGTTGTTCGGCGCTGACTGCTCCAACTGCAACATTAGTCTGTGCGACCTTGAGATGCGTTCCCTGTCAAACATCATTTGTCCTTACTTTCGTAATTTTGTTAAACATTTTTCTTCATATAATCAAGTAGCCTAGGCCTATTTTATTTTGGTTTGCAGGCTGATAAAAGTTCATCAGAAAAACAAATGGTAGAAGTAGGCTAACTTTACCCGTTTCTGAATATTAGTTTAAATGTTGCACATAATAAATAGGCCTAATCAAAAAGCAAAAACGTGACCATTGTAATTAAAATAAAAATAAAAATGTCGTTATATTGCAAACGGATGAAGAAATTGAGTTTGAATAGGCTATCTCATGCACGCGTTCGGAGCAATGTTGGCAGCTCCGTAGGCTATATTGGGAGCGTTATAGGCCTACTTTGCTTTAGATTAAATAAATGAATAAATAAACAAAACAAACAAAAAAAATCCCCAAATATAATTTTTAATGACTTCTGTTTGTAAATAAATAAAGCAGTCATTTTTATTTCTTAAACGGCTTAAGGTGAACTTGGAACTAAAACCAAAAAGGAGGAAAAAACAAAACGTTTTTGCTCATTCAGAACTACAATTCGTTTTTAATTCCTAATTTTAGACAAATAACAAATATATTATAGTTTGAAAATACAAGTTTAAAAACAGCGCTACACATAGGAAATTAAACTTATTATTAAATCAGGCGATAGGCTACCGCCAAAAAAAAGGAGAAAATCAGACCTTATGAAAAACAAATAGACAAGACAAGACACCTAGCTATAACATCAACATGCATTCACCATTCTTACAATCACCAAATTGTGCTCTGTTCTGTTCAGTTGTAGGCCTATTTAACATTTCTCCTCGCGAAACGAAATTCGTTTCAAACACAGATGCAATAAGAACAGTGAGGAAATTATTAGCAACACTAACATAACAAGCAAAGCTAATGTTTTATGCTCGTTTAAGCTCAAACTAACCAAAGTAAAACCTTTAACGTTTCAATCATTAAATTAAACCAACTAAATCGCAGGCTATCATTAGATAAAGTGCAGCCAAACTCAACATGACTTGTGTTAACGTGTATTCCGTATGTGTTGTCTCCAGCGGGGCGCATAGGGGGCGGGGCATGGGTAGACTATATAATCGGATATCGCGATATTTTTTAAGGCGATTATCGATAAAATATTTTTTACATATCGCCCAGCCCTACATTACAGGAGACATGTCTTAAGTGGAAGACTGACAGGTACCCACCCTCTCTTTTCATTCCCATGGCCAGGCACTTCTGATAGCGGCAGTACTGGCAGCGATTGCGCTGACGTTTATCGACCAGACACTCCTTGTTGTCCCTGCAGGTGTAGCTCAGGTCCTTCCTGACTGTGCGCTTGAAGAACCCCTTACAGCCTTCGCAGCTGTACACGCCATAATGCTTCCCTGCAAATACAAATCATTTTCACATTACCTCTGAGATGCAATGAAATGTCATTTTTTAAAACATTCACTGTAAACAACATCCTCTGTCCAAGGATGCTTTAGAGTCAATGACAAAAAAGAAAGTTCACAGAAAAATCTTTCCAACATTTAGTTTAAAACACGTTATAAATTCTTAGTAATGTACTCTTTGTATTTATTTTAGTTTCATATGGTTTAAAAAAAAAACTTTATACCATTTTCAAGAAAACTTAATGACTGCAAAAATGTTGTGTGCTTTAACCATCAATTAATATATTTTCCCTACAACTTGAATACATGTGAGTGTAAAGGTCTTAATCATTGTTTTTAAAGGCTGAAATATATATATATATTACATTGTCTTATGCTTTAAAAAATATCGGCATGTAATTACAGCGTAATTCTTTTCTGTAATTACATCTATAATCATGCTCACCTTTGTATTGCTGTGTTCAGCTGAACAGTTGAGATTCTCAGTTTGATGGCTTAATCAATGTACTGTAAAATACTGTATCATGTAGCTTGTGGTTGTGTTTAGGATTTAGTGCAAGACCTAATAATAAAACCAGCAAAAACATAATTTGCAGCAAAGTTCACCGGATGCTTGCCAAGTTTAAGATGATCACTTAAGTACTTAAGTAAAAGAAAAAATATATATATATATATATATATATATATTTGCAAATGTATTTGTCACCTATGACCAATGCAATGTGCTGCATCCCTAATTGTAATGTTTTATATAATGGCTAAACTCTTGTTTTTATCATTTGCATCCATCCGTCTGTCTATCTGTTTGTCCATCTTTCTGTCCATCCATCCATATTTTTGTCCATCCATCCATATGTCTGTCTATCTGTCTGTCCATCCGTCTGTCCATCCATCTGTTTGTCCATCTATCCATTCCTATGTCTTTCTGTCTGTCTTATCTGTCTGTCCATCCATCCATCCATCCATTTGTCTATCTTTACATCTGTCCGTCCGTCCATCCATCCATCCTTTTGTCTGTCTATCTGTCTATCCCAGGGGCGAAAATTTCATCAAAATGTTGGGGGGGACAATAAACATAACAATTCTCAAGAGCAATTTTTGAAGGGGACACCAATAATACAGGCAAAATTGTACTTGCAAGGATATGTGTACACCGAGGAAAGCCTTACTACTATTATTAGTGTAGCATGGAGACCGTTCCATTATCCTTCTTCTCAAAGTTTCTTTCTGGTTTAATGAAAAAGCTGACTAAATTGACCAAAAAAATTCTTCAAAACCATAATTTCTTTTGTAAATAAGTTGTTTTGTGTAAACAACTTATTTACAAAAAATGTATGGTTTTGAAGAATTTTAGCCGGGTTTTCGCCTGGAAGGCTCTATAGAAATCTGGCACCCTAGAAGTTAAACCGAGAGAGCGTGCGTTCACACTTCACAGACACCAGAATAAACGCGTTCACAACGTTCATCAGGCAGTAATACAGCACGTTCAGTTCACGTTCGGCCAAAATATGAACGAGTTCATGAACTATCGTTCAATGAACGCGTTCAGGCACAACACTAATTAAATGATATAAACCGACTAAATCACAGTGAAAGCGTTAAAATTTAAATGCGCACCCGGACAAGACTAACGTTACATCACGTATGCGTACACTCTATGGGGTGTGGGTGTGTGTGTGGGGATATACTCTATTAAACAAGCTAGGTAAACATTATAATCGCTAACATAGACTACATCAGTGACAAAAGTACATTAGTACACAATCATATATTTGTTTTTAACATGATTTAATAATGACTCAGCATCATCTATATTAAAGAGAAAATAATCACTTCATCCGATGTTTAAAGTGAATAAAATAACATTGACTTACTGGAGTTCCACAACTACTCAAAAACATAGTTAATCTCTCCCGCCACCGGAATGTGTGTGTGTCGGTGCTCGACGGTGAGGTAAAAGGGGCGGAGGCAGTGGACCAAAGCACTGTGAGGCAAGGGAGGGGGGACTCAAAATGTTTAAAACGTTTTTTTTTTTGTTGCCCCGTTTGCATTTGTATTATTTTATTTCTTAAACAATTATTTTAAGAATATATCATTATTTTATTTACAACACATATATTTTAATGATATTTTAGGGGGGACAACCCTCACCCCCGACCCCCCATCCATTCATTTATGTATATGTCTATCACTGTCTGTCCGTCCATCCATCCATCCATCCATCTATCCATCCATTCCTATGTCTTTGTCTGTCTATCTCTCTGTCCATCCATCTATCCATCCATCCGTCCATCCATCCATTCATTCATACGTCTATCTGTCTATGTCCATCCATCAGTCCATCAGTCAATTTATCCCTCCATCCCTCCAAATAAATCATGGGTATAATAGCCAACTGATGAAAATGAGGGAAGACATCAATCTTGTTCCCACCGTAAATGACGCCAATGGTCATGTACAGAATTAATTTCTTTAGGTTATTAGTGGAAACAGTTACTTAGCGCAGATCATTTGTTGTTGGCCTGTATGGGGTCACAGTGGCATAGATCCCTGTCCAACCCCATTTACATTAGCCCTGAGTCTGTGCACTCAGAGCAGGGGCTGCCACATCAGATGGCCCCATAGGACATGTTGATTTAATGGGCCACTAAGCACAGTTAAACCTCTCCACTACACACCTGGTTTACTAATGCACAGAACTGCCATGGTCAGACAGCAGATGGACTTCCCCTAATAAGTGAAGTGATTTTCTTTCAGATGCTTTATGGATTGGATAAATTTGTATTCATAGTGTGCCATGTGCTGTGGGATTTTAATGTAAAGTCCCTTCCTCAGTTTGCAGTCAGATCAGAAATAGATCACTTGAAATTTGAGTCAAGTTTTTATAGATCCTCAAAGGAATAATGCAACAGTTGGGAAATCAAAGGCAGTCATGCTAAAAGAATAAGTAATGCAGTCTTCTTTTATAACCCTGCCAAAAAAAAAAAAAAAAACTTCCAAGTATGAAATAAATCGAGAGAAGTAAAGTTTAGTGCTGAACTTGTTGATTCATAGCTTCAAAGCGTTATGGATCTCTTCAAAGCACAGACCCACAGAATAGCTTCTCAAGCAGCAGGTTGTGAACAATAAAATATGCTTGCATTAAATGGTTTCGAGCCCATTATGCCTGCATATTTGAAAGAACTAACTAAACCATGATCTTCTCTTTTAATAGGTGCAGAATGAACTGTGTGCAGCTTTGGCTCGCAAGGCACAGACTAAATCAAGTAAGGATTATTCTGTGTTACATGGCTTGATTGTGTGTTTTTTTGCTCCAATAAACATGGACAATCAGTTTCCAGTGTTTTGCTTGTGTTTGAGTATTAAGCTTTTAAAAAACAACAATGTATTGGCCTATATTCTTTACTTCTTTAAAAATGTTTTTTTGACTGAAATAATCAGTACAAAAATAAAACAATTATGAAAAATGAGACTGAATAATATATAAAACACTACTTTAAATAACACTGTTCAAAATCAACACTAGTGGATAAAGTTTCAGAAAGAGACTGTTCTCATTGAGGTCTCATTTGAAAGTGGTGTTAATTGGGGAAAGGAATACAGGCAAAATCTTTGTAACTGATGTTGACATAGACATGAATGGGTCAAACTAGTGGAAATAAACAGAGTAAACAAGTCATCTATTCAGACAGCACCACTTTTGGTCCAAATCGATGAACAGTTTTGTCAGCGAATGGTTTTTTGTGACCACTGAGCTACAATTAAAGCTACAGTACATGTGCTATTTACCAAGGATAAATGACTAATGGTCATGAAAAAGTGGTAACGCTTTACTAGGTTCAGTTTGTTAATGAAAATTACCTATATAGGTTTTATTCATATTTATAACTTCAAGTTAAACTAAACAGAAATGAGAAATGTTGCTTTGGCAATTAGCTTAATTCAAATATGTTTAAGGGTTTTCTTATATTGTTTAATTTTATTTAATGTTGATTTTGTTCCAAGTAATGAAAAGGGTTTTTTGTAACTTTAGTTTGTTTTAAAAGATAATAACCCTGCACCAAACTTAACCCTAGTGTTAAGTGTTACTATAGCATCTTACTATAAACATACCATAAAAGTGTTTTTTTTTTCTTTTCTGTGTGTTTGTAAGGTTAATGACGTTCCACATGAACTGGAACATGAATCTATCTTGCTAAAAAAAAGAAAGAAGCATAAACCCAGGCAGCACACAACACTCCACTGATTCTCAGCTGTAAATTTCTTGTTTTCCAGTGATGGAGGAGAGCAGTCCACAACATAATACTAACACGCAAGGACCATCTCCCAGTCCTGCTGTGCGCAAGGTAATGAGAAAACAGATTCCAGGGCAGCTGGCTTTACATTGACAGTGTGTGTATGTGTTGGTGTGCATACTGTATATGTTTTGCTGAGCTCACCAGCTGTCCCGCTTGCCCAGGGCTGTCCATACATCCCCTGATTGAGCACCGCTTTCCCGCAGCTCAGTCATCAGTAGAAAGCCCTTGAACTGGCAGAAAGAGAAAGAGCCTGTGATTGGAGATAGATGGATACTCTATACTGTGTGTCAGGACAGAGCCTTGTGCCTGTCTGTGAGGCTCTCGCCTGTTCCAGCACGGTGTAATAGCTGATGGTTCACTGCAGCACATCTGACGAAACTGTGATCAAGACAACACAATAGCAGTGCTTCACAAGGACAAACAGTGCTGTACAGATTATAACATATACACCATATTATCAGAGTGAACTGTTGGCTCGCAAATTATTTTGCTTCGACAGAACCAAAAATGTTTATCATACAAAAGTAAACAAAATGTCTTTGAAATCAAACACTGAGATTTATTAGTATAACCATGAACCGCTTACCAATATTATTTGAAGCCCATAAACGATATATTGACCGATATTAGATCTAAGTCTTAAGGTGACAACAACAACAAATGCGCAGTCTAGATCTCTGTGTTTCAAAAGACACACAACATAATGTACACTGGGAAAGTTATAGAAGTTTCCATCTGGGCAGCAGTAGTACTTTGTAAGAGAGAGAGAGAAAAAAATGTGTGTCTGTGTGTATATATACAGGTCCTTCTCAAAAAATTAGCATATTGTGATAAAGTTCATTATTTTCCATATTGTAATGATAAAAATTAAACTTTCATATATTTTAGATTCATTGCACACCAACTGAAATATTTCAGGTCTTTTATTGTTTTAATACTGATGATTTTGGCATACAGCTCATGAAAACCCAAAATTTTAGTTTAAAATTAAATTTAATTGAAGTCTCAAAAAATTAGCATATTTCATCCGACCAATAAAAGAAGTGTTTTTAATAATTTTTTTTTAAAAAAAGTCAACCTTCATATAATTATGTTCAGTTATGCACTCAATAGTCAATACTTGGTCGGGAATCCTTTTGCAGAAATGACTGCTTCAATGCGGCGTGGCATGGAGGCAATCAGCCTGTGGCACTGCTGAGGTGTTATGCAGGCCCAGGATGCTTCGATAGCGGCCTTAAGCTCATCCAGAGTGTTGGGTCTTGCGTCTCTCAACTTTCTCTTCACAATATCCCACAGATTCTCTATGGGGTTCAGGTTAGGAGAGCTGGCAGGCCAATTGAGCACAGTAATACCATGGTCAGTAAACCATTTACCAGTGGTTTTGGCACTGTGAGCAGGTGCCAGGTCGTGCTGAAATTTGAAATCTTCATCTCCATAAAGCTTTTCAGCAGATGGAAGCATGAAGTGCTCCAAAATCTCCTGATAGCTAGCTGCATTGACCCTGCCCTTGATAAAACACAGTGCACCAACACCAGCAGCTGACATGGCACCCCAGACCATCACTGACTGTGGGTACTTGACACTGGACTTCAGGCATTTTGGCATTTCCTTCTCCCCAGTCTTCCTCCAGACTCTGGCACCTTGATTTCCGAATGACATGCAAAACTGAGCAACAGTCCAGTGCTGCTTCTCTGTAGCCCAGGTCAGGCGCTTCTGCCGCTGTTTCTGGTTCAAAAGTGGCTTGACCTGGGGAATGCGGCACCTGTAGCCCATTTCCTGCACACGCCTGTGCACGGTGGCTCTGGATGTTTCTACTCCAGACTCAGTCCACTGCTTCCGCAGGTCCCCCAAGGTCTGGAATCGGTCCTTCTCCACAATCTTCCTCAGGGTCCGGTCACCTCTTCTCGTTGTGCAGCGTTTTTTGCCACACTTTTTCCTTCCCACAGACTTCCCACTGAGGTGCCTTGATAAAGCACTCTGGGAACAACCTATTTGTTCAGAAATTTCTTTCTGTCTTACCCTCTTGCTTGAGGGTGTCAATGATGGCCTTCTGGACAGCAGTCAGGTCGGCAGTCTTACCCATGATTGCGGTTTTGAGTAATGAAACAGGCTGGGAGTTTTTAAAAGCCTCAGGAATCTTTTGCAGGTGTTTAGAGTTAATTAGTTGATTCAGATGATTAGGTTAATAGCTCGTTTAGAGACCCTTTTCATGATATGCTAATTTTTTGAGACAGGAATTTTGGGTTTTCATGAGCTGTATGCCAAAATCATCAGTATTAAAACAATAAAAGACCTGAAATATTTCAGTTGGTGTGCAATGAATCTAAAATATATGAAAGTTTAATTTTTATCATTACATTATGGAAAATAATGAACTTTATCACAATATGCTAATTTTTTTAGAAGGACCTATATATATATATATATATATATATATATATATATATATGTGTGTGTGTGTGTGTGTGTGTGTGTGTGTGTGTGTGTTTGTTTTATTTTATTTATTTATATATAATATTCATATCCAATTGGGCTCAACTGATAATATATATATACACTGAACAAAATTATAAACGCAACACTTTTGTTTTTGCCCCCATTTTTCATGAGCTGAACTCAAAGAAAAAAAACAGTCTGAAAACCAGTCTGGTGTGACCACCATTTGCCTTGCGCAGTGCAACACATCTCTTTCGCATAGAGTTGATCAGGTTGTTGATTGTGGCCTGTGGAATGTTGTTCCACTCCTCTTCAATGGCTGTGCGAAGTTGCTGGATATTGGCAGGACCTGGAACACGCTGTCGTATACGCCGATCCATAGCATCCCAAACATGCTCAATTGCCAGACGCCATCGAATGTGAGCATTTGCCCACTCAAGTCGGTTACGACGATGAACTGCAGTCAGGTCGAGACTCCGATGAGGACGACGAGCATGCAGATGAGCTTCCCTGAGACGGTTTTTGACAGTTTGTGCAGAAATTCTTTGGTTATGCGAACCCATTGTTACAGCAGCTGTCCGGGTGGCTGGTCTCAGACGATCTTGGAGGTGAAGATGCTGCATGTGGAGGTCCTGGGCTGGTGTGGTTACACGTGGTCTGCGGCTGTGAGGCTGGTTGGATGTACTGCCAAATTCTCTGAAACGCCTTTGGAGACGGCTTATGGTAGAGAAATAAACATTCAATTCAAGGGCAACAGCTCTGGTGAACATTCCTGCAGTCAGCATCCCAATTGCACGCTCCCTTAAAACTTGAGACATCTGTAGCATTGTGCTATGTGATAAAACTGCACATTTTAGAGTGGCCTTTTATTGTGGCCAGCCTAAGGCACCCCTGTGCAATAATCATGCTGTCTAATCAGCATCTTGATATGCCACACCTGTGAGGTGGATGGATTATCTCGGTAAAGGAGAAGTGGTCACTAACACAAGCTGCGTTTACATGGACACTTATAATCAGATTGACGGCTCAATCGGACTAAAAAACCTTCATTTAAATACCTTAATCAATCCGATTGAGCTCGATCCGATTGAAATTTCGATCGGATTGAAAGGGGTGGTTTACTCCTTTTGTAATCCGATCGAGAGAACATGTAAACACTTGATCGGATTGAAAACCGAAACTAAAAGGACTGCGCATGTGCAATGACGTTGAAATAGCGTAATGACGTATGACGCACGGAACGAGCTGTTCTTCCTGTTGAATAAGGTGAATATAAAACGAGTGTTCCGTTATTAAAAAATTCTCATTTCACTCAGCGTCTGTGAAGTGAAGCAGGACAACGTCCCACCAGTGCTTGTTTCAGATTATCATCCATGGACGACTGGTTTTGGGCGCGGGGTTTTACTGCGTGATCAATATAAGCAGCACGGCAAAACGGTTCATGCTCATCGTCTCCAAATCATGACCAGAGACGGATAAATATTAAGTCTGCTGTTTAAAAAAAATAAAGAACCAATAGAGAAGAATAGTTATGCGCGAACAGCGGCATATTCGTGCAGTGTGCGCATGTCAACAAATCAATTCCGATTTGAATCTTGTGACATATAAAGCAGCCATATCACCCTGTAGCCCAAGACTGGTTGCCCACTGAAGCTAAGCAGGGCTGAGCCTGGTTAGTACCTGGATGGGAGACCTCCTGAGAAAACTAGGTTGCTGCTGGAAGAGGTGTTAGTGAGGCCAGCAGGGGGTGCTCACCCTGTGGTCTGCATGGATCCTAACGCCCCAGTATAGTGACGGGGACACTGTACTGTCAAAGAGCACCGTCCTTCGGATGAGACGTTAAACCGAGGCCCTGACTCTCTGAGGTCATTAAAAATCCCATGGCACTTCTCGTAAAGAGAAGGGGTGTAACCCTGGTGTCCTGGCCACATTCCACCCATTGGCCCCTGCCAATCATGGCCTCCTAATAATCCCCATCCACTGAATTGGCTCTATCACTCTCTCCTCTCCAACTATAGCTGGTGTGTGGTGAGCGCACTGGCGCCGTTGTACTGTGGCTGCCGTCGCATCATCCAAGTGGATGCTGCACACTGGTGCTGGTTGAGGAGAGAACCCCTGATATGATTGTAAAGCGCTTTGGGTATACAGTACATATGAAAGCACTATATAAATGCCTCAATCATTCATTCATTCATAAACGCGCACATCAACCCGATTACTTTATTTATCGTTCATGTAAACACAGTGTTCGGATTCATCAATCGGATTGATTTCATTCCGATTGAACCATGTAAACGCTGCTATTGATTTAGACAGATTTCTGAACAATATTTGAGAGAAATAGGCCTTTTGCATACAAAAGTCTTAGATCTTTGAGTTCAGCTCATGAAAAATGGGGGCAAAAACAAAAGTGTTGCGTTTATAATTTTGTTCAGTGTGTGTGTATATATATATATATATATATATATATATATATATTAGAAGTGGGCATAGATTAATTTTTTTAATCTAGATTAATCTAGATTAATATTGAAATTAATCTAGATTAATCTAGATTAAAATGGCTCATTTGAATTCTCCCGAAGGCATTCAGAATATGTGTGCTACCCAAATAATGACTAAAAGTAAGTCTTTGAGAATAGTTTGCCTCGCGTAGGGATGTGCTTTTCTGCCAAAAATGCCATTCGACAATCGAGGAGCAAAAGTCGAATATCGTTAAAAAAATAAAAATAAAAAAAACCCCGCAATGACAGAAAGGGAGCCCAATTTCATCTTTAGCGATTTGTCATCAAACAAACTGTTTATTAATTGCACAAGTAACATGTTTTTGTCCTTTTTTTAACATAGTAGGCTAATTGGAAGAAAAAAAACAATACGCACGACAGTCCGTTTTTGCATCGCCAATGCTCGTAGATCAAAAAATAATGTCATCATATGTCATAAGAATTTTATGTGAACCTGCCTTGTTACTGCAATAGCCTCATTTTTAAACAAATTAGTTTCAATCAATGTAAACTATTCGTGTGATTATGCCACTGCGCAATACACGCGGAATACACACACAATGTATTACCTGAATGAAATGAAATCGAATGTATCGTCCTGTGGAATCATTCATTCACAGACAGCTTACGAAGATGTTCAACTAATAAAGATCTTCATCGCTGGCAAAAATATGATGCATTTGCAGATTTGCATTCACTAGACTAGACTGTAGATCGGCCACTTCATCCAACGCTCTTGATGCTCTTAAATCTTCCTGTTTCAACTCCGAGTGCGAATTGAAAGCGCTTCAGACGATTCAGTGCGCGAGGAACTGAACAGATCAACTGATTCGCGAACCGATTTAGACAGATCATCTGACAACTTGTTTGATGAAGTCTTTGAACAGAATCGACTCAAAAGAGTGATTCATTTGTAAATCTAAATGATCATCGCTCATGCCCATACAAAGGACACAGCGCGCTTGGAATAAACTCATTTAACAACGTATTGCATTAAAATAAAGTAACGAGAGGAACGTCGCCCAACGTAACAAAGTAAAAGTACACCTTGTGTCCCTGACAGGAAAATACCCTACTGCGCGATCTGTGACAGTAGGCGCGGCATCATACTACACATTAGAATTGCCCGAAAATATAACGATATTCGAAAAAGCTTTTTATGATCCCAACCCAACTTTGATTAACGGCGGTATTTTTTTTATCGCCCGATAAGAGTCTCACGTTAACGCAGCACGTTAACGCCGATAACGGCCCAGCACTAATATATATATAAGTTAACTAAAAATGTCAAAGTTTTAGTCTTCTTTTCTTGGCATCTACAAATGATTTTCCTAATTATAGGATTGTTTATTATGAAATGCTCTTAACATGCTGATTAGTAATGCTAAATGCCGATGAAAAAAAGGTCCTGTCAAAAAACTTGTTTATTTGAATGGAAAGAGTGCCTGTATGACAGATACAAATAGTATTTGCTGCATTCTCGTTTTCTGCAGTGTTTTGGCAAAAGCATTAATCTATTTAGCTCTTCACTGTTTTTTTTTACTGTTGTTAAAATAACCGCATCATCTGCAACTTTATCGTCTTTAGCGGGAGAGAGAAGCAATGCGAACGCAAAGATATTGGATATAGCTCGTTTGGCTCTAGATAAAAATGAGAGGATATAGCGCCGAAAGATCATTACCATAAACAGCCCTGAGCACTTGTGTGAACCGCTCCGTTGTTTTGGCGTGCTTCTGAAATTAAACTGTAGAAACTGTAAAAGGGTGCCAACGTTGTCATTATGTCTCGCGGTCCAGTTAGAACCAAGCCTTGTTTATACCCTTGATTAAAAAAATAAGGCCATGTCTAACTATGCACGATTATGTGATTAGTAGCGCTCAGCATTGTGTTAGACCCTATCAGAACATGCTACAATATTTTGGTTCAGTTGAGAACTGCTGGTAGTCTTGAATTGCAGCGTAAGCTTTTGTTTTTGTAATATATTATGGATATGAAGTGATTTCCTGTCTTGTATTTATAATGAAAAAAGAAAACGGTCAATTAGCCTGATCATTTTGAGAGCTCCCACGGACATTAGTTTTGTTATTGGTGGATTGGATATGTTATCTTAATTGCTTATCATTGGGCCTTTTTCTGGAAATTCACTCTTATCAGGTTTATGCTATTAGTATAGTTCAATCCAACTGCCCATTGTTTTCTATATTCTTCCCTACACTGAAGTGCTGAAGAATGTCAGGGACGCAGCTTGTGTTGAATTTGTCTAGCATGAGGTTTGATTCCTTATATAGCCAGCTGAGTTGATATGGAAATACTTGAGTGTGTTCAGGACAAATTCCTCTCTCCTTCCCTTACATCAGAGAATGAGGTCACAGGTTTCTCCTCTGGACGTGTGGCATTTGCCATTGTGTCTAAATGGAGAGGGAAATTTACACGGGATACATTGTCAAATACGATCTAAAAATTTAGATCATTAATTAGTAACTTTATAGATTATTCCTGATGTATTGTATTTGGTTGATCAGTGGTTTATTTTGAAGGGAACTGACTTCATTGACCTTATGCGCCAGAGAAACAAGTGTGCAGCCATCTTTATAATTTTGTGTTTGAACTTCCGTTTCTGCAGTAGCTCTGTATATTTCTATGGCATCGCTGTCGAAGAGGTATTTGCTGGTGAAGTAGATTTACTTATTGTAGAGTTAACAAAAAAAAGTTATCATGAGCGTTGTAATGTTTGAAGTGGATGTCATAACAAATGTCAGTAGACCGGGACGGTTTTAAAACGAGCGGTTTTTATATACGATTTTAAAACGATAATACATTTTTTATTTATAATGCACTTTACATTTCAAAGAAATCTCAAAGTGACACAATAGCAAAGAGATTAAGAACAATTCCCAGAATATAATAAAGATCGTTTTAAAACGATCTTAACTTCATGCTGTGGAAATACAAACTAAGACAGAACACAGCGAGTGCAGCGCTAAAAAGGGGCGGGGCTACATACGTTGTATATATCCACTAAAATCACAATAAAACTAATTGTAAAAAAAATTAAATGAGATGTGAGAAATAGGACCATCATTTGTTTGCTTTTTTCCCCGTTTTTCTTCAATGAAGTTAATTAAGTGTGACTAAAAGGGATAGTTTTTAAGAAAATTGTCATCTTTTACTCACCTTCAAGTTGTTCCAAATCTGTATTAATGTCTTTATTTTTTTTCGTTTTTTTTTTTCGTCAAGTCAATGTTCGTTAATGTCATCAACTGTTTTGTTACCCACATTTTTTATATATTCTTTTGTGTTTAGCACAATAAATAAATTCATACAGGTTTTAAACAATTTGAGGTTGAGTAAATGATGACATTTTTGAGTGAACTAACCACATTATGTGGGTCAGTGACATACCATTTTTGTCTGGATCTAATAATTTTTTCAAAAACATATTAAAAAGGCCATTTATAATACAAAGACTTTTTGGGGAATAAAGTGAAAAATGACAGGGTGATACAACAGTCCTGATATCATAATATCATACAAATTCCTGAAAAGAAACACCTTGAAAAGATAAGGAAAGTAATTTGGCATAATGTTTAATTACTATTTCTTAAACATTAACAAATACCAAAACTATTGCACTGTTAATATTTGATAACTTGTCAAAAAACAAAATTAAAAACAATGTCATCTGGTGCAAAAAAACAAAGTCATATGGTTCAGCCAACAAGGAGACAAAAAAAGGAAATCATGTCATAAAGAGGAGCTAGACCCTTATGATTGTGCATCAAGATCAGGAAGTTTCTTCAAATATCTGACCTTTTTATGAAAAGGCCAAGATTACGGTAGTTCAAGCTCTAAAATGTCACATTTGGTGACCCCCCCCCCCCCCCCCCCCCCCAAAAAAAAAAAACCCCAACTCTTTTTATTTTTAAATTAAAAAAATAAAATAAAATAATAAGATGTGTATATTCACACCATGTATTCAAGGAAATATGTTATGACATTTTTAGTCATTACATCGAAGCTGTTATTGAAAATTGTACAAATGTTTTCATAAAACCATATGAAACCAGCAAGAATACACATTTATAAGAACTTGTACATGCTATTTAAACTAGATTTTGAAAAGATTTTCTTTACTGCAGACACTCTTATTTGTCATTGATGCATATGATATTTGCAAGATGCCAAGTTGCTAGCACATGACCTTATGAATCACTTGTGAACTTAAATGATATACAAACAGTGCACATGATCGGTAAACCCATCAGTAACCTGCCCTAGACCCCATGCTGGCCTTTCTCCCATTTTCTGGAGATTGTGATACTTCCTATTCGGGATTGGAGGGACTGCCAGATGTTTCCTGGTCGCCCCCACCCTGGCTATGTGCGTAAGACAGAGAGAGAGAGAGAGAGAGAGAGAGAGAGAAAAGTCAGGTTCACTCTCCCCCTCAGGCAACACTGTCTCTGAGTCTTCACTTTTGAAAGCTTTCCTCTTGACCGGTTGTGTGCTTCTGGAGCTCACTAAACCCTCAGGACTACCGTGACCATCTTCAGTCTCACCTGAGTAAGGACACAGCTGGAGGAGACAGTGGGACGGGCTGTCAAACTCTCAGTGACTTTGAGAGCTGTGTTGCAGTCTCATGGCGTGGGACTGTGGCCTGAGGTATGTGTTTTCTGTGTCCCCTGCACTGCAGCAGGGCCCCGGGGCTGGTACACGCGATAAAGAGGATATCAGCCGATTGGAGATGGTCCAGAGACTGGCCAAAGACGGATGCCGCCTTTTACACAGCCCGCTCAGAGCTACCGAAAGGCCTGCTGAGGTGAGATGCACACTAACGTTCATGCATCAGCCAATCCACACACTGAGTATTATTATTAGGGTCTGTTTTCAACTCTGGGCTCTTTTGGAAACTTCAGTAATAGGGCTAGTATTTTAAATACAAATTAAATACAATTAAATCATTTTTATGCTTTTAATTTGACAAAATTACATCCTTGTTAAAATAACTTTATTAGTAGCGAAATTGTAGGTCCTGGTTGAAATAAAATCATGTAATATTAAAATGTTTTCTGTTTATTTCACTCTTTGTTTAGACTATTCTGGGTTTTTTTAATGTAATGATTCCAATTTTTAAAATGGATTTTCATATTTTATGATTGAAAGTCTGGGTGACGGACGAGGGTAAAACAATTAAATCTATACAAAACAAAACAATCTATAAATCTCTAAAAAAAATCTATAAATAGTAAATAATCATTGTATTTAGATTTTTTTTTAAACCTGCTGGGACATAAACATGCCCATAGTTGAAAAAACATTCGAATAGCATTTATAGTCAATGTCGTGTATATTTCGTTTTTTGGTAGTACTTGACAATTTGTTGTTTTGTTGTGTGTTATTTGTTCAGAAAAGGTATTATTTTATATTATAATAACTATTTTGTTGTGGTTTGTGAAGCAGCACCCTTATATGTTGATTGATATCATTATTTTAAAGAAAAGTCATTGTTTGGTGTCACTTTATCATTGAATCTGTTTTCAAATCTGTAGCTGGTTCAGGAGAGACTTTCTAAAACCGAAAAGGGCACCAATCTCATGCTAGTCTCTGATTGGTTGATCCCACAATAGTCCCAGTTGCCTCTTCCTGATGGCGGGCGGCCACTCACAATGACAGGAAGAGTCGACTTGAGCCCCATAAGGTTGCTGGCAACCAATCACTTCTCCTGCTCTGGGTGTCATGCCGTTCTATTCTGGGAGAGATATTTATTTGACCTTTATGAGACAAAAGTAGAATTATCCTTAATTTGACCTATTACCATGATAAGGAACTTTAAAATTAATTTAAGACAAGCCACTTGTAATGTGTTGTCATAATCAAAAGCTTTTTTGATCCAAATCCTTTTTGAGCTTCAAAAAAGTCACAGTAATTTGAGGCTGGGCTCAGAAGTTTTGTGCTGTTAGGAATCAGGATTAGTTGTATTCACCCTGTATTCGGTAATCATTTTCCCATTTAAATTCTAAATTTAAATGAACATAATTTTCATATGATTTAAGGTGTAAGAGGCTTCTGGGCAGTCCTTGGCTAATGAAAGCTGCGATGGAGTCCAGACCTTCTGCCGTCAGTCTGAAGGTCTGGCTACGCAAGACTTTTATGGTATAGGCCCCAGGTAATACAGAGAAAGAGTAAACATTGTTCATTTATAGTACTACCGACATTGATTGTAACAATATGAAGAGGGTTGAAAATTGGCAAACTTTTGAACGAAAGTCTTACGGGGTTGGAACAACATAAGGGTGAGTAATTACTGACAGAATTTTCATTTTTGGGTGAACTATCCCTTTAAATACATAGGCTATTAATTCTGATTCCTTACAATAAAGCTATCTTTTGTTGTTTTGACGACAACATTAATGACAGGCACATATGGCTGCTGTCACTTTTAGAGCTAATGGACGGATCCATTACTGTTTTCATTACACTGGCTGTCACACTGTTACATACGTAAATCTTATTTAAGACATAACCGACTGTGTTTACGAATATACTAACCAAGACCGGAATTTTGACACAATTTTGTGCGTTTTTTGCCGTTAAAGCGATGAAAAATAACTTTTGTTACTCGCGAGATGTTTGTGAGGCAGCTTTACTGTATACACACAGAGAAAACCATCTCTCAGAGAGCACGTGGGTACTAAATAGTAGGGCTGTCAAATGATTAATCGTGATTAATCACATCCAAAATAAAAGTTTTTTTTACATAATATATGTGGGTGCATTGTGTATAATTATTTTATATATATAAATACACACACATGCTTGTATATATTTAAGAAATATTTTCATGTATATACTGTATATAGATTTATATATAATTTACATTATATATAAATATAAATATTTTATATATAAATTATATTTTTTTCTTAAATATACATGCATGTGTGTGTATTTATATATATACAAAATAATTATACACAGTGCACCCACATATATTATGTAAAAAAAACTTTTATTTTAGATGTGATTAATCGTGATTAATCATTTGACAGCCCTACTAAATAGTTTAAAATCGCTTGAATGTTTAAACTGATAAGACTTAAAAAGACGTGAAAATTATAAACTTCAGTTACGATGCACTGCTGGCCCTATTGTGCAAGTGACATTCCGTCATGTCCCGACTCCTAAACGCGAGAGTGTAGTATCGTCGCATGCAGCGCATGGCTTGTGCAACCCATTTTGAGAGACGAGAGAGAGAAGAGAGAAGACGCATGCGCCATATGTCATTGCGTCACTATATCATCGCGATATGACACTTTTTTTATCATGTAAAAATTTATACCGGTGTTATCGTGGACGGTATGATATGGCACACCCCTACGCAAATTGCATCATTCTGCATAATTTTGACAGCTCCAGGGCTTTCGTGAAAACCACAGATTGTACTTCCGCATTTTTGTATCCCCGACAACTCATTCCCGCTAAACATTTACTCTTTGAATTCTTGCAGCGGGGAACAACACAATTTGACACCATTATGACTAAAAGTTTGCTAAGAAGTATTTCCTACTAAAGCAAGGCGGTATTTGACTGGGTAAGCGTATCCATAGCAGACTGGTGAGAGTGGCCTTGGACTGCAACATGCCCAGTTCCAATTTTAATATCATACCATTATGATCCATCTTTTTGTTTGTTTGTTTGTTTTTCAGATTCATGATTAAATTGTTTAATTGTTTGTATGCGGAACAGTTCATTCTGACATTTTCAGATTATGTTGACAATTATGCATCAGACTTGAAACCGATTACTTTTGGTGTCAAAATGGTTTCTGAATATTTGATGCAGGTAGTTGACTTTGGACTTGGCATGAGCGTGTCTTAACACAGCAGGCAGCTGTGAGACAAAGACGGTATGAGAGTAAAGACAGTGTACTGAGGGATGACCGTGTATTGCTGTTTGTTTGAGAATCCCTTTTAAGTGCGTACCACACATTTTACCTGCTCTCTGCTTTCACTCATCGTCAAAGTGATGTAATATTTTGTTTAACAGTTTGTGGAGCCTCTTTGCAGTGGAAAGGATTGGGATAGATAGAGTAAACTAAAGTTTCAAAGTAAAAGTATATGCTTTCTGTTTTCTGGGCTGTAAGTTAGTTTGTGTTGTTGGTTTTGTAGGGAACCTAATGCATGAATTGAAGCTAAATATTATTATTCTGTCTTTATCATTATGATATTATGGGTCTGTTTCCTATATACATATTTAATGTTTTTTCAATAGGCAATACATTTTGTTGTTGTATTTATTTTTTTATCTTTAGTTGCTTTAATCTAGTGGGTTTTGTTATAGATTGTATTCTATACCCATGTAAACCTTAGGAGCTGTAAATTATGCATATGGTCAAAAAAGTTTTTTGTTTATTCCAGGAGGAATTTTGGAAGCCTTTGTGCAAAGTAATATCAACAGACCAGGAAATGATTTAAAATATCACATTGTCTTTTTGACACTTACATAAACATAGCACTGTTCCAGAGGCTTCTGCTCCGTGTTGCAGTGACAAAAGCATTTGCAATTTACTTAACTGTGCTCGTAAAAAAACATGTTTTTCATTGGTGTATATAGTATACCAGTTTTATATAGTATAATAGTTTAGCATTACAGTATGCAAAAATAATAAATACAACGGATGGATGGATGGATAGATAGATAGATAGATACCAACTAGCTATGGTCACAGAATCAGTAATTCGTTGTATACAAATGATCTGAGCGCATTTTGTTGTTTAATGATATAAAGCAAAAATGTGAAGTGACAGCATAAAAGAAATACGCCACCAGGCTGATGTCACACATACAATATGTTGTCTCTGAGATTGGTGGCATAAATAAATGCATTACAATCATCGAACCCCATCATATGCAATATACTCGATACAAGGTGACTGGCTTTTGTAGCTTTCGACTGAAGCTCAGAGAAGTGTTGCGTCAGCCCCTGTATAATCACAGAACTGGTCTTCAAGGTCTAATCATGACGCATGCAGTCACTTCAGAATGGAGCGGGCTAACCAGGACACCTTTTAGTGTGATTGTAGTGTTTCTCTCAAGTTCACAATAACTTTTTTCTGGAATATGACATTTTTAGTACCCAGTCGAGTGAGATTATTTTGTTGATTAATGTTCCTCAACCCAGAAATGCCCCCTTAAATTTATGAGCCAAATATATTTGATTTTTTATTATTTTAATTTACCATTATTTAACCAGGAGAAAAGACAGGAATGTTCTGGCCAAGGTAGCCAGCTGAGTTTGCTTATACAACATACAATACTAAATCCAGCATAAAACATACAACCAGTCAAAAACATTTACACACCATCAATTTCACTCTCTAGGTTACGTGGTAAAATTTGTAAAGGACTACAAGTTTTGTACAGTAGCTTCATCTCTGTATGGAAAATATTCCAATCCGAGGTTGCGGCATATTTGCATTTTTTGTTGTTGCAAAACTCAGAACACTAGAGGCAATATTGCTTGAACAATACTATATTATGACCTCAAAACACTTTTACCATAGTGCATCATTTGTAAACTAATACTTTTTGATGTTTGCATCACATAACCTGCTCCATAAGAATGGCTTTTCTCCGGTAAGAGTCCCGTGTCGTGATAAAAGAGCTCAAAGACTTATGGAAGCAAGCTAAAATGGCATGGTTGCTTCAGCAAATGTGTTTTAATCTTACGTTTCCTTTTGTTAACACTGTCAAGTTTGTTAAGGGTTTAGTGTAGGTGTTATGATATTTTCAAACGCGATAGAGCATTAACATAGGGTTAGGGTAACTGTAGTGTGCAAAACGCATTGTAATATAATTTTAATATAATTTTGCGAAAATTTTTCCAATGAGCCTGGGGTTGGTATCTTGCCCAAGACATCAAATACAAAGACTGCCATTGGTGCCCCTTCAAAAAATGCATGCAAATAGATACTCTGTGGGTAGAAAGAGAAGATGCAAATAGATTCTTGCATCAAACAGGCGCTGCTCATTTGAGTTTGCCTCCAGCCTGTACTGACGCCATTGTGCCATTCTATCAGTCTAAATGTTTCCACTTCACTTCCCACAAAAGCGTTAGCACATCTCAATGCCACTAAATGCCACATTTCGATCCTGTGTAATATTACTCTGTCACTACTAAAGCGTTCAGGTCCCCCCAATGGAGCTCAATGGAGCTTTTTGCCAATCCAAAGCCAAGCAGAAACTTCTGCCTGGGGAGATGAGTCTGAGATTGTGGCTTTTTAAATGCAGTTTGTGCTGATCGTCATGAGAGTGTGTGGGGGTTGCAGTGTGTACATGCATCCGTGTGTGTGTGTGCGTGTTCGTTCGTCCAAGATCATTGGAGGTCTCTCAGTGTTTCAGTGCAATGGGCAATTAGAGCAGAAAAGTGCTGGTCCTTCCAGCCTGTCTGTCTGCCTAATTACGGGCGCACACACGCGCCACATTGACTGATGTGCTGTTTGCTGTAGTCTAAGGACAGAGAGAATGAAAACCAGCTCATTAAAACATGCGCACACACATACACTCGCACACACAAACTCTGCATGATCTATCCATTAATTGCACTGCTAACTTGAAATGCACTTCTCTTAGTGTATCACTGTAATGAGGGTGTTTTTCGAAGAGTGACAGTAAGATCCCGGTCCGTATGTTGTTGGCACAAGCATTATGGAAGGCATGAGATGCACACACCCATGTTTACACACACTAGTGAGTCAAACAGTTCACATGCTGGCTGGCTAAACTACAGCAAACAGACCTTTTACTGGAGTTCAGAGTCCAGAGCTGTTTTTAAGTATTCATATCAGAACATAATTAGATACAAACTCTCAAACTTTCTTTCCGTTTTAAACCGTACATGAGGGTATTGCATGGCTGGTTTAGTCTGCACTAGTTTGAGCACATTTTATAGCATTGCATACAGTTGTTGAGATGTTTATGTCAGTGATATAGGGAATTGGGTTTGCAATTATTGGTTGAGTTTTAGGGATGTATGAATATTGGAGTTTGGATGGATTGAGTGCTTTGTTCTCAGTGTGTGTGTGTGTATGTGTGTTTCAACGTGTTCGGAGATCTGTGGAAGATTGATAACACACACCGGGCAAAGTGACATGGCTTTTACAGGACAATAGCAGTGGAATATTGGTTCAGAGCAGCTTTCCTTCATACACATACTGTATATACATATATAAACGTCCATATACATATACAATGGCCACAAAAGTTTTTGACATATTGGCATATTTTATTTTATACAAAATTTCAAGGGTCCAAATTATAATTATTTTTGCAACCCCCGCTAATGGCGGGTGAATTAAGTATATTTACCTGCCATCCATAAATAAAGTATTTCATAAAAACTGAGAAACAGAATTTTCTACTATTCTCATTAATATATAGATAGATAGATAGATAGATAGATAGATAGATAGATAGATAGATAGATAGATAGATAGATAGATAGATAGATGTTTGTGCTATCTTTAAAATAAATTATGCTTTGTTTGATATTTTGTTCTAATTGTTCTAATATTCATATATTTTTAAGCTTGACTTTAAGGGATAGTCCACCCAAAAATGAAAATTCTCATATCGTTTCAAATCTGAATGCATTTCTTTCTTCTGCTGGACACAAATGAACTGTTTAGTTACCAACATTCTTCAAAATATCTTCTTTTGTGTTCCACAGAAGAAAGACATGGTTAGGGTGAGTGAGTGATGACAGAATTTTCATTTTTGCATGGACTATCCCTGTGTTCAAATGTTTTCATTACACATTATGCATAGATGTACGTACTGTATAAATATATATTCAACCAACAAACCAGCTCAGCACACACACGTAATATTTCAGCATAAAGGCTTGCAATTCGTGATTATGCAATATCAAATAACTAAATCAGATGAATTAATTCACCTTTCGAAACGAGCAAATGATTAAAATATAAATGCAGCCTCGCGCCGAGCAATGTTACGGCAGCATTGTGTTGGGTCACGATAAAACAAACCCATTGAACGGCGCCATTTGATGTGGGATGTTTAATTTAAAACTGTATTGTGATGGAAATCAGGGGAGCGAGACAGACAGGGACGGGAATACAGGGAATCTCCCTGGTGATAATGTTCTCCCCTCCCACAGCCCCCCGGTGACGCAGCAGTCCGTGTGTGTGAGAGAGAGAGGAGCCACGAGGTGCTTCAGAGAACGACGTCACCGAGAGCTCCCTCCTCCTCCTCCTCCTCCTCCTTCCCCTGGACCGGGAGGTAAGCAGCCACACACCCGCTCTCACATGCGAGTGGAGCTCCAGAGCGCGCGCACCCTTTCTCTCTCGTCTCTCATTTCTCACGCTTGTCATTCCGTCTTTCATGTAATCTGTCCAGCCTTGCCTCTTTGTCACTTTATTTATATCTCTCATCTCCCTGAAGTCATTCTCTAACGCGCTCAATCACACACACACACACACACACACACACGTATGAGGATGTGCTGCATTGGCGTGCGCTCTTTCCTATGGAGCCCTTCTGAGGGATCTTAAACCAGAAGCTCCAGAGCGCAGTCAGGCTTTTGACTCCTCGATTCCTCCGGGTCAATGTGGTAAGTCGGCGCCGATGTGGACATGGGCAGCAGGCGTGCAGTGGCCCCCGACCCGCGCATGGACGACAGGTTGATGCCGGCCGCTCTGGTGGAACAGGAGGAAGACGAGGATGAGGACGAGTCCTCCGATACCTGCAGCACAGACCGAGCTACTGTGCCTACATTCGACGTGCCGTATTTCCGTTATATTGACGAGGAGGGCACAGAGGAAGAGGGCGATGAGGAAGGCTGGTGCAGCAGTCGCTCCCTGTCCTCCATCGAAGAGGAAGACTCCAGTGACTCTTCTGTCTCCCACAGGTACGCTGCCGTGCCTGCCGCCCCTGAAAGGGTTTTGGAGCATCTGCTGGGCCACCTGAGGCTGGAGGAGGAGCAAAAGAGCAGAGAGACAGGTGAGCCGTCACCTTTTATCATAGTCGTGACCCACGTATATATGTTTTCTGCTGACTTTCTCAACTGATTTTGAGGCATAATCTAACAGGTGTTTTTCGATTATGCAGAGATCTGCAGGCTTGACTGTATTTCATATGTCATATAAGTTGTGTTATAGTATGAGTATGAAACAGGGCTGTTTAATTTTAAAACTATTCAAATAAACCATTAAAATAGTTTTGTTAATTGAAAAAAGCTGAAACAAAATATAAATATTGAACCTTTTAAACGTAAAAAAAAAAAAGTGAAATGTTGCCTTGGCCACATTCATAAAACTAAAATGACTAAAACTAAAATTAAAGTAAAATAAAATAAAGCAAAAAAAAAAATTTTTTTATAAAAATAATAATAATAGAGATGGCTAAAATACATAACAAATTACTGAAACTAGAATTAAATTGAAAACTGAAATTTTATTCGAAATATCAATAAATACTATTATAGTAATTGTATAGAATACTAAAATAACACTGGTCTGAAATTTGTCCATCTTCTTAAACATGATCATACCATCTCTTAAACTGATAGTTCACCCAAAAATTTTAATTCACACTCTTGTGTTGATCCAAACCTTTATGACTTCCATTCTGCTTTGGAACACAAAAGAAGATATTTTGAGATTTTTTTGTCCATACAATTCAATTCAGTAGGGTCCAATGTCTTTTGTACCCCACTGACTTTGATTAAATCGACAAAAACAAATAAAATGTTCTTCAAATTATCTTCTTTTGTGTTCCGAAGAAGAAGGAAAGCCATACAGTTTTGGAATTTTCATTTTTGGGTGAAATATCACTTGTAAGAGATTGGATGATCATATTTTAGGAATAGTAGACCTGAATCTAGTACCTGGACCATTCAAAACAAGCTGCAAATCTGAAAAACCTTCTGAAAATAAAGAAAATACTCCGTTTTTTTTTTTCTATCAATGCTGCACTTTAATTTTTGTGGCACAAACATCTATCAACATTGTCACCTGCTGTTCCAAAAATGTTGCGGCATGTACTTCAAACAGCAGTATATTTCCTGGTTCTGTTTTTGTGCTATAAGGTAAATGATGTGATAGTAGTGATCCATTTTTAGCTGACTGCCCGACTGTATCCTGCTGGTACTGAGTTATTATCTCCTGCTGGCTTTAATGTCCTGCCGTTATGGATGGCATGCTGCACTCCATGTTTAGCTGCCAACAGTTAAACATGGAGGTTGAAAGGGAAAAATGCAGATTGTGGGATAGTTTCACCTATTGGGATGCACAGAATAATTTATCATTTAAATGCTTGAATGATTATAGCATTGTCATATCTGGGACATATGAATTAAAACTATAGAACTAATGCATGGATCCTTACATACAAGGAGAGGTAAAAGATATTCTGCCTGCCAGGCTTCAGTCATTCTTGTTTTTCCAGACAGAATGTTTTTAGTAAAAAGTATTGATTTAGATTCTCCATAGGGAACAGAGCATCTCTGTAGCCCTAAAGCCATGAGGTCTGGGTCAAATCTGGAGTGAAACTGTGGGATTTGTGACTCTTGTTGTGTTTTGAAGCTGAACAAAGAAACAGATTCATTTCCAAGCCATTATAAGGAGTATGAATGCACTCTGCTTTGGTACTCTGGGTTGCTGAAGTAGTGTGTGTTCGATATCAAGCTGTTCTGTCTCTCAGACTAGATTAGAGGAATGAGTAAGTGTTCTTTCCCTTTAGAAAAAGCCTGACTTTGCGGCGGCTGTTCCCCCTCCCTCTGTATGGCGAGCCAGTCCAGCGGAGTGAGTTCTAACCTCATTAAAGACATTGATAGCTAATCGCTATAGTTCAGCTCACTTCTCTGTTGTGCGCGCAGAGTCTTGTCTGTTGAAATCCTGCACTGCTGCACTTCTTCTGTCTGCTTTCAGTGCAGTTCCAGAACTCTCTTCCATTGCTGAACAGAGGAAAAGATGCCATCTGGGCATGCACACACCACTTATCCTCCTATTTATTAACAAAAAGACTACATGTGGAGTTTTCAGCTGGTCAAAATACCATCATATGTAGGTTATGCACATACAAAGAGCACATTTATCCCAGCACACAGTTTTGTTTTGGATGTTCGGTAAGTTCCGTCACGGAATATATATGTAATATAATGAAATAAAATCAGGTTGTGAACATATCCCTACGCCTTTAGGTTCGGTGTCTTTAGATTCAGTGTTAAAATGCCAATGTGAACGCTTAGTGGACCAGGACACTGCAGGACTAAACCAAGTGATTGTATGTAAAAGAGCAGCTTAGACGTTTTGCTAAACTTCTCTTTTTGTGTTCCATGGAACAAAGAAAGCCATATAGATTCCTAAAGACGTAAATTATGATATAAATCAAATATGTAGTTGAACTGTTCTTTTAAAAGCTTTGTGCTGATGAAGGATATATCTTATTGTCACCATTCTATTATATATATAAACAAAATTGTAGGTGTTGTCAGGGTAAACAGTGATATAGTGGTGAGAGAAAAGGTCGCCATGATCTATGAACTGTCAGATGAAGTGGCTTCACTCCTAACTGCCTGGTAAGCTCTATTCTACTGGGAGGGTTTTGTCCACGCTATAAATCTATTATGGTTTAAATGCTATGACAGATAATAAATGAGGCTTTTTTTTTTTACGCTATTTTTGAAATGCATCCATAACTGCATTAGCTCAGACTGCCCGGTGATCCATACATAGTTTTTCTGTATGTGTCTGTATATGTGTATATTTTGGTGTATTGGTATAAATAGTGCGTTCTTGTAAACGGAGAGAGACAAAGAAAGAATTAGACAGACAGAAGGAGAGACAGAGATTCCCAGAGGACAGGACTCAGGGGACATGAAGTCTGCCGGTGTATTGTCATGCTTGCACACCCCTCACATGTGTAGGGAGTTTCATAGGGCTCAGTATTGATTTCATACGGCTTCTGAAGTATCCATCAGCTGATCCCATGTGAATTCCGTGTTTACATCCTGCAGGACAGGCTGCTTCTGCACACAAAAAGGATTTAAATGTTTGTTGTTTAACGTATGAAGCCGAAGGGAAGCGTGCAGTAAAAGTATTGATTCGGTTATGGAGAGCAGAGGTTGTTTTATTGTTTTTTTTCTAAATGAAAGGTATCCAGCCAACTGTATCTCCCTACAGAGCTGGAGCTCTTGGCATTTCTTAATGCTTGTAAATACATGAGCAAGACGCTGTGCAATGAAACAAAGAGGAAAAATAACTCTGTAGTGGTTTGGTAGTTTTATGTGTTTGGCTGCGGTTCAATGCTTTTGTTTATTAAAAATGATTTTATGGTCAAACATGCAAGAAATATTACAATTAGGGATTCATTCAGTAATGGCGTATTTTTTTCTGCATTCAGTCTGTGTGTGTTTGCATGAGGACTCCAGGAGACTTCTGCCGATAGCAAAGAAACAAATGGGTTGAGGAAGAAATCTGAGCCATTTCATTGCCAATTAGTCTTTGATTATTTTGTCGATAATGTTTATGGATCCTCAAACCCAGAGGGTATATTGGGTTATTGTATTTTTGGAATCTAGCACGTGTTCAATGAATGTAATGTTTCCTCTGTGTTCAATACCAGGCATTTTCTCTAGTCTTTTTCAATTTTCAGAGCTCTGCATTTAATACAGAAATCATTGATTTGGTATATAACACTGATAAAAGACATACAATGCTAAACAGAAGCTCGTAGCATTCAGTGTGGTCCAAAAGAATAAGACCACTTTAAAAATCTAGAATAAAACCTGAAATAAACAGAGCCATTAAGACTTTTGAATTTAAAACTAAAAATGGGACAATTTTTTTATTTTTATTAAAGGGGATAGTTCTTCCAAAAATGAATATTTTGTCAGTAATTACTCCCCCTCATGTTGTTCCAACCCAGTAAGACTTTCGTTCATCTTCGGAACACAAATTAAGATATTTTTGATCAAATCTGAGAGCTGGCTCACTCCTCCATAGGCTTCTATTGTAATTGAAACTTGCCGGCCCAGAAAGTTAGTAAAAACATTGTTAAAATAGTCCAAGTAATTACAGTGGCTCAACCATAAGTTTATCAAGCGATGAGAATACTTTTTGTGCGCAAAAAAACACACAAAAATAACGACTTTATTCAACTATTAATTTTCTTTCTTCTGTGTGGGCCTCAGAGTGAGTTCATGTAGTGTAACAGCACAGCGCTTCTGGGTTGTACGCCAGAACGTAGGCTCACTATTGGCCGACGCTGGTCATGTGTGTGATAATTGTTATAATAGAAAGGTATTTTAAATTACAATAATATTTCACAATATTACTATTTACTGTATTTTTATCTAATAAATGCAGCCTTGGTGAGCATACGATACTAATTTCAAAAACATTCAAAAATCTTACCGACCACAAACTTTTAATCGATAGTGTACTCCAACCTTTCCCTTAAAATTGTTATGGTGATACTATAATTTGTCATTTACTTTGCATTCAAAAGCAAAAAAAAATTAGATCTATATCTAGATCAGGTTGGTAACATGTATTTCATGTGTTCTTTAACAAATCCAAACCTGAATTGATTTTTCTCCCCTGATCCAATATCTTCTATTTCTGCTGTAAATGAAGTCAATCACCTGAACGGCGCTCTGCTCAGGCCTGCTGAGGGTAATTGGCGAGCTCGGCTCAATGAGCGATAATCAAACCCTGTCCACATGCTTAACGGAGAGACTTGTGGGAATTGCTTCATTGATGATGATAACTCTGCTCACGAATCCTGAGCATAACGGGCCCGAAGCTGTCAGAGCTCATTATCCATGATTTATGGAAAACGGGAATAATTTGAGTAAAAACATCAAAAAACAAAACGAGGAGAGTGATTGTGCATGTGTGCTTTTCAAGAATGCCGATGAATTTGGTGCAAACATTAAATGAGATGAAGTTGTTCAAAGTCAATCATATGTCACATGCTCTCATTAACTGTAACAGTCT